CAAGAAATTTGTAATGTTTTGAACAACCCACAATAAAAAATTAAAAAAAAAAAAGAGGTTTTTCCTTTAAAAATGCATTCGTATGTACATGTTGACATCTATATAATAGTTCTGGAGACAAAAAGGTTTCTGCTCTGCTATGATGTCACAGACAATATCAGGAACTTGGAGCTGAATTCTGCGCCCATCCTTGTTCTTGGTATTTGATTGTTTACCCATCTGTTAAAGAGACACTTTGACATCATTGTTCTGCTTGTTTCTCTAATGGGAACATGCTGAAATTTCTGTGTATGCTTTTCAGAGATGGATATTTCGTTTTTGCCCCTTCTCTTGTATTCACCCAGTATCTCACATAATGGAGGATTTATTGTCTGGAATTCAGTCAAATATTTATTGAGTACCTACTACCATAATGGAAGTTAATACATAGATAGCATTTACCAGGTTTTAGATGCTATTCTAAATACTTTGCATGTATAGACTGATTCCGTCTTCATGGTACATTATTATCGTCATTTTCCAAGAAAATAAATGAGACAGAGATGGGGAGAAACCTGTCTAAAGTCATACAACTAGAAAGAGTTAGAACATGGACTTTAGCAAACACTCTACTGTGATTGGCACGGGGAGAACAAAGATGAACACAACATAGTCCCTGTTCTTAAAGTATTTACTATTCAGCAAGAGGGAAACTAACATACTTTTAATGTAACTGTAAATCTAGTAATAATAACACTAGCAAATACTTATAAATTTTATATCTATTCTGAAACCTGTAATCATCCTTTTTTTGTTATTGTTTCACTCTCACAAGAATCTTATGATTTTCTTTTATTAGGAAATAAAGATAATTTTGCCCCATGTGGGAAAGAACAAACCACTCTTTGATTGTCAGTTTGAAGCTGGTCTGGCTCTGAAAACAGTCCCCTGAAAACCAGAACACTGAAGAGTTCTTTTGGATATCAAATATCTCACAGAATGTTACTTTCAGGCAAAGCTACAAGGGACCGTGACAAAGCAAGATAAAATTGAGTACTCTCCACCATCTTGTCAGAGCACAGATAAAAACAACAACACTGACCAAACAACAAAAATGACCCATCATCCAGCTTTCTTGGATAATATAATGTGACTGCTCCCCTTTGATCAATTGTAGCTTTAGATCTACTTTGTTCTTTCCATTTTCTAGACAAAAATCAGTAAGATACCCTACATAAAATCTTTCATTTCTGCCAGATTCGAATCAAGCAAAATCACACTCCTTGAATCCTCTTGAAAGCATACAAAGAAAGTCTATATGAAGCCCCATCTAATATCCTCTTTTGGGACTTCTCACAGTTCCTGTAGGGTTGCCTTCCTTGCTGCAATGAACCAATAAATCCAAATCCAACTTGGTTTGATCCCAAGTGTGTTTCTATGGTCTTTTACTCGAGGGTATTAACAGAAAGGAAGGTATTTCAGCAAGGATGTGCTGCTGGAGCAAGACCCTAGACACAGTTTACAATGTATGTATTGGAGGCCCCTGGGGAGCTTCTCATGTTCAGGTATTCCAGTTGACTCTGGCATATGTTCTCATGGGATTTTTTTGGTTTTTGGATCAGAATTTTATTGTTTCTCGTTGAAATTGTTCTCTGGCCTTGAAGTTCTACTTCTATGGTCTACTGTTTAGTGTTTTGTCTACATAAGGAAACGTCATAAGGAGAAAATGGATATAGACCTGCATTGTCTGTTTTTGAGCCAGTGCCAGGGAAGGAGGAGTTCAGAAAATATCATTAGATTGGTGTTCTTCAGATAACAGTTGCCAGAGTCACCATTTTAGAATCTTAAAAAGGACTTTTCTCTTAGTTTTATGAGAAATGACTTATTTAATTTCATCTCTCCAGAGTCCAGGTTTTTTTTTATCATGTCCCTGATCACTATAAATTAGCTTTTGCCAAATTCCAGATACACATAATTACACAATTATCAACCTTATGGACCCCTTGAGTTCCCATGTGGTCCTCTTAATCTAAAATTGCACCTTTTAAGCCAAACACTTGTTTCTTCTCTGTTTTCTGAATATAAACAATACTTAGGCTCTGACTGGTAAAATTTCCCAGAGCAATTCAGAATTGTAGTGACAACTGGGGGAACTCTGACATCAGCAAAACATAAAGCAGGCAGTATTTAGAGAGTGTGCATAAAATGTCCCTGTCTCATGGCATTTGTGTTAGGCTAGAAACAAAATGAATATAAATGGTATGATGTCAGGCAGTAAAAGGCCAGTACTATAAAAAGTTTGGGTGCGTGTAAAGAGAAAGGTGTTTATTTTTTAGATACGGTCATTTGAGGGTCTATATAGAGAGATCATTTTAAGAGAGGTAGACCTTGGCCTGAATAAAGGGATGAAGTACACCAGGTGAACATCTATCTAGGTGAAAAGGGTTACAACAAAGAGAAAAGCAGTGCAAAACCTAGTATAGAGTGTATATGGCATTTTTTTTTTTTTTAGGGAAAACAAAACAGCTGGTCTGGCTGGAATACTGTGAAAAAGCAGAAGAAAAATAGAAGATGAATTTGGAAAGGTAGCTGGGAACAAGGTAATGTGAGGTTCTGAGGGCATGGAAGATTTTGTTATTTCTAGTGTAGACAGAGAAGACACTTTGCACTGATTTATGTATTGAAGGAGTCACCCTGGCCGCTTTACTAACAATAGAAATCAGGAAGGTAGCATTAATGACTCTTGGATTATGCTGGTCTAGGATGTAGTTAAGATTGTAAGAAAAGGAGCATCAACAAATAAAGCTGTCCTGTGTTGTTCTAAAGAATGCTAGAGTTACAAAATGGGAAAAGGAAGGTCAATTCCTAAGACATTGAGAGGTAGGGTAAATTGGAAAGTGAATGTGGATGGCAGCAGGATTAGAGGGAATTTAAAAAAAAAGGAACGCAGATGTGAGGCTCTGAAAATCCACAATTGGGACAGTGGTACCAATAATTACACAAAGGGATTTAAAACAAGTTTGGGAAAAGGGGAGATAATGGATTTTATGTTCACTATATTTAGAAGTAGGGGTAGAATTGATAAAGTCATAAGTTCACTCAAATACCAAAAGTTGAGGCTAGTTTCACAGGTCTCAAGGAAAAAACAAGGGGCTATACTTTGGGAGTGTTTTAGCAAAATAGGCAGGAGGCTATTAGCCAGGAGTTGTTTCTATACCAGAACTCTAATGTAAGCATACTCTGAGTTGCCTTGGAAACATTTCTTGTAACCAATTAGGGAAACAACTACTATAAATGGAACCTCAGCCAATCACAAGCACCCAACAAGATGACTGGATACAATCACCCACCCCCAAACCATATCTACCTAGGGTGAATGCCTAGCTGTGGATAATCAGGCAATTTCCTTACTTTGCTATTATAATAAGCCTTGCAAGTTGTCTGCTAATATTGCTGGAGCTGAGCTCTCTGAACTTTTTCTGGTTTCGAGTGCTGCCAGATTTATGAATTGTTCTTTGTTAAAATAAACTGTTCAGTTTAACTTTTTCTTTTAACAGAGTGATAACTAATATAAGCAAAATGTTCACATAATAATGGGAAATGAAAAGCCTGGGAAATAGGAAAGAGAGATTTATTTGTAAATGCCTTTTAAAAATGTGATGTAGCATAAACATGACTATAGAGCTAGACTGCCAAAGTTCAAATTTCTGCATCAACCTTTTCTAGCTGTACTATATAACCTTGGATAAGATCGTCTGGGCCTTTGCATTTGAAAATTATTATATTAGAACTTCCCTGATAAAAGTGTTGTGGTGCAAACATTTTTGATCTGGAGGCCTTGAAATTTCATAACATCTGTAAACATTGTAATGGAAAATATTATAATCCTATTTCTGTTAACCATTTACAAAATTTGATTCCTTTCTTTACAAAAACCCCATATAGTGTTAGTATCTATGACTTTGTTTCCTATAGAAAGTATAGATATTTTCATATTGCAATACAGTGGTTGCAGACATCATGAAATATTGTGATCACTGTTACTTCAAAATTACCAAATTTATTGCAACTGCTGTTAGATTGCATGTGATGACTGAACTTATCTATATCCTCATAACATTTAGTTGGCCAAGTCTCCTGTAATTTTATGCCTCTTGGTCAAACACAATCATGTTGGGTTGCCTGAATGTTTATAGAGTCACACATCTATATTGCTGTCCAATATCCACAAAATACAAATATTAGTTCATCAATATGAGGAAGGAGGAGAATTGTTTTAATTTGATATTTCCATTATGATGGATTCTTTGGAAATCTTATATATTTAATTTCATACATTTAAAATATTATTTTCAGATTAGGTCCATAGGGTTAACCCCATTATCAGACATGTTCATGGTACAAGAAATCTTGAGGTAGAAGAATAAAATGAGTAAGCATGACAACACCTGGCCCTTATCAAAAGTTCAATAAAATGCCTGCTACTATTCTTAAAATTTTAGAGGACAGAAATTGAGTTAAATTCTATTCATTCTTGCATTCAAATCAGCTAGAACACTGCTCTGTCCATTGGCAATCAATAAACACTGAAAGAATGAAGCCAAGTCTATGTTGGCTTCTCAGGATCTTCAGTTGGGGTTGGAAAACAGGTGTCAAGTTGTGGGCCCACTTCTTATGCATCCAGGGAACTCCAGAGTATGTTAAGAGCGCTTGAGGGTTTACGGAGACACATATGTGTCCCTAAACTTATCCCAATAAGAATACGACTGCCAGTGGCTTAGAGGGGCCAGATTCTTAATTCTTCAAAGCTTTCCATCACCCAAGAAGGCAACCAGGTAAAGTGTTGGACTGAGAAGTCCCTTGCTTATTCCTGGGATCTAGTTTCAAAAGGACAGTTTCTGTTTGAGCAAGAGTGACAACAGCCTCTCTTCCCTATGTGGGGCACAGGGTACTTTCGTGGTGAGAACTCCGCGCCTCACGCACCAAACCCTCGCTTCCTCGCCACGCCCACTTCCTGCCCCATCCAGCGCCTTTCCAGGTCTCTCTCCCGGTGAACCGGATGCGCTGTCAGTCTCCTCCTCCGTGTCCTCGGCCTCCACCCAGCTCCTTCGCTGAGCCGCTGCCACCCCGAGGCCCCAACCAGGAGGCTCCCGGCGGCTGGCCTGGCAGGTGTGGGGCGCAGTAGGAGCTGGGCGCTCACGGTTACCGCGCGTGGAGGAGACACTGCCCTGCGGCGATGGGTGCCCGGGCCTCTCCTTCACGCCGGAGACAGGCGGGGCGGCGGCTGCGGTACCTGCCCACCGGGAGCTTTCCCTTTCTCCTCCTCCTGCTGCTTCTCTGCATTCAGCTCGGGGGAGGACAGAAGAAAAAAGAGGTAGAATGAATCCCGTTGGCTTTCTCTAGTGGGCCTGGGCGGGACACGTTGCCAGGAAGCCCCGCTTCGTTGCTAGGCAGCAGGGCTGTGGGGCGTGGGCGGTGGCAGCCGCGTGGGTGGAGGCCTAGGGGCGGGTGCTTTGCGGTCTGCAACCTTTTAGCCCAGTACTGTCCTGAAGGAGAAAGGACGCGTCCGCTTGGCTGCCCTGGGCTGCTCCTGGGAATGTCACTTAGGACCACTGAGAGTCCCTCTGTGTGAAGGCCGAGCTTTGGGCGCTGGTGTCGCTGACAGGGGTGTGGTGGATGTGAAAATACCCTTGAGAAGTATTTATAAAGCCCCAGGAACTATTTAACTCTTTATTTTTCTCCCTTTCTAGATTAAACAGAATATTGAGAGTGTTTTAAGTTTTTCTCTATTCTGAATTATACCTTCTAAAAGTGTACGTTTATTTTTATTTTAAACTCAGTGTATAATTGTGAAATAACCTCACATTATTTACGTTATGCACATTTTTGGGTGAAGTTCAGATCACCTGATTTCAATCTTAGTCTTTAACTTTGGGCAGAGTGAGATTTGAAATGACTGTGTTTAAAGTAATTGTAGAGGTATTTGTGAATTCGGTTATGCATCATTACTATGGATGATTGATCTAGAAGCTTCAGAAGAAAAATTCAGTGTTTCTAATTGTGGACCATTTTGGTTAACATACTGTTTATATAATCCAAGATGGTTTTTCTTTGGTGGAATTACACAACTACACAGGTCTCATAATTTGAATCAAGGTATTGCCAGAAATTTCTTAATAGCTGGATAGAGAGTGAAAAAATAGTATAACTTTCGAAGTACTCGTTTTGTCTTTTCTCATTAATCATTGCAGAAAAAACTGTGGTCAATATTAACTTTTTTTTTTTTTTCCTTTTGGGTCCTGGGGATTAAACTCAGTGGCACTTAACCACTGAGCCACATCCTCAGCCCTATTTTGTATTTTATTTAGGGACAGGGGCGCACACTGAGTTGCTTAGGGCTGCTTTTGCTGAGGCTGGCTTTGAACTTGAGGTCCTCCTGCCTCAGCCTCCTGAGCCACTGGGATTACAAACGTGCACCACCATACCTGGCAATATTAATGACTGTTAGTTTTTTGTTTTTAATTTTAGCATGAAATTAGGCCATACAAAATTTCTTGTGGAGTTTTGACAACAACATTTAGAGAATCACTAGTTTTGTTACAGTTGTATTTAGAAATATAAATTGAAGATATATTTTTAATACTTGGTATTTATATGCTATATTTCGAGAGTTCTAGGTTTTATAGTTGATGATGAGAAAAGTAGAAGATTGAGTAGTAGACTTTTTTTTCTTTTTCTTTTTTTTGTGAGTTACCAGAGCAGAGAGCAATAAAATATGATGAGGAATTCTGATGTTTTACCTCCTGGGAATGTCACTTAGGACCACTCTTTAAACTGCAGGGGGAAAAAATGCAAAAAAGGGTACAGGTTCATGGCATCTTAGTGTCTCCATTTGTAATATTATTTGAATATGTAAAGATGATACCAGTATAATTAATTAAATCTAAAAGTCAGTAATATATTTCCATTAAGATATATTTTATAGAAGGTATTTTTAAAATGAAAAACTGGGGAGAACAATGCTGAAGATTGAAAACGAGCATCTTCCAAAATTATTCTTTTTCTCATAAAAAGGAGAAGCTAATACTAATATATGGTGGTGTTACAGTAACCATGTATTTTTCTTTATGGAAAAAAAAGGCATATTAAAAAAACATTTGAAGTTTGATACTTAGGTCTCTGAAGTATTATAGGCCAGTTCTGTATATGGTACTCTGTTAGCAAACTGTGATATCTTCCATTATTGGAATAAAAACATTATACATTGGAAATAATGAGAAATGATTGTTCACCAGTATAATGCTTTTTCAGGGGTACCTCTGTTTTTTTTTTTTTTTTCCTGTATGTGGTTTCTTTCTTTGCTGACATTAGAACCTGATGCCCAGTGTAAGATTTGCCATTGAACCAGAAAGTATAGCAGCTGAAATGTAGTTTACTGCAATGAATATGACTACCATTATATATCAGAATAGGTGACATGGCATGAAGAGCTTTTCTTCCTTGGGAATCCAAATTGAACTCTAAAGTTGAGTCTGGAGTCAAGAATGAATATTAGTTGCTTTTAAGGAAGTAATAATTGTGGTGGTAGTATTTACAACATGTTTTCTTGAGTCAGACAAATGATACAGTTATAACTCAGTCCTTGATTATATGACACCAGGCAAACCATTTAATGTTGCTGAATTCTGGTTCCTTTTTTTAAAAAAATACAGACATAATACCTATATCTTAGGATCATTGTTGGGATTAAATAAGTTTATGTAGTATCTAGGGTGATGACTAGAACATAACTGATGATCAATAAGTGGTAAGTAGCTATTATGTGTTTCTTATTTAAATAAACATGTTAGTATGGTGAAATTCTAAAATGTAAGATTTTTAAAAAATTATTTTTAAGCTTTCTGATGATAATAAATTATATGGCTTCTAAAATAGATTATCTATTACTTATGATGAAACACTGAGAATTCTAGACTTTTATGTTGAGAATTTTGCACATAGAGATTTTGCATCAGAATTAGTGATACTCCATGCATTTGTGTATATGTATGTGCATGTACACGTGTATGTATTATATATATGTTTATATATATGTAGGAATAGTTAAGTGGATAGACAAAGAAGAGTGAAGATTCTTACAGTCACATTTCTTAATTATATTAAAGACAGTCATTAAAAAGTAATTTTTAATTCTCAAATTCAGTGATGTGAGTCTGGAAGACTTTGGCCTCTTAGTCGTTTTCATTTGTATATTAATGCATTTTGCTTTTCTTTTGATAGTTTTTCTATTTCTTAGATTATTATATCAGTTAATCAGCTTCATTTGGAATTGTTGTAATTTATAATGACCTCTTCTGATTATTTAAACAGAGCTCAAATTGTATAATGAATTACAGTAGAAGTATTGACTTTGTTACCCATCAAAACCAGCTGTTATAATAATTTATTATATTTGCAAGGAATGTAATTAGTTAATAGGCTAGGATATGTAGGTATAATGAATATGCAATATGAAAAGTTGATTTGCTCATAAATGCTTTCTGGGAGATTAGTAAAATATTTGCTTAAAATTGTTCAGCTGCCTTTGACATAATTCTGTATGCCATTAATGTTTTTAAACATGTTTTACACTGGATGAATGATATCTAATTTCTAGTGTCCCAACTGTGAAATAGAAATTTTACTTAGAAAATGATAACAAGGAAGAAGATGGAGGTAAGCAATAGAAGTTCCCTTTAAGCAAAGAACTTAAGTGGAAGAAGTATGCAAACATTTTAGAAATGCAGAACAATTTTACATTGATCTGCATACATATAAAAAATAGATGATGCTGATGTCAGGCAGTTGTTTCATTTAGGTTAGATTAAGTGTGTGATAATCTTTGAAGAATGATTGAAAATGACAAGTCTTACTTAGAATAGCCAAATGTGCCTGTCCAAGAGCTCCAGTTTCTTGGATGATGGCAGAAGGTATGGTATTCCTGTATCACGGCATTCCATGAGGAATGTGGCACAGAATTCCATGACTTTTAGGTACATGAATATATTACAGCACTAGAGTTGCCAGAATATCAACATATGCATTGGTTCCTTGAGCTTTAATTGGTTCAGGGCAGTGTAAGAGGGCCAGGTGATCCTCAGGTATGTAGTAGTTGAATTACAGGAGAGCAACCTTGACTGTAGGGAACCCACATATTTTAAAATGCACGAGCTTTTTAATTTTTTTTTTTTTTGTACCAGTGATTGAACCCAGGGGCGCTTTATCCCTGCATCACATCCCCACCCCTTTTTATTTTTTCTTTTGAGAGAAGGTCTTGCTAAGTTGCTTAGTGCCTTGCTAAATTGCAGAGGCTGGCTTTGAACTTGTGATGCTCTTGCCTCGGCCTCCTTAGCCACTGGGATTACAGATGTGCACTACCAAGCCCGCTTTTTTTTTTTTAAATAGAGAACTCTGTCTTGACTAAGACATATATTATAATTTAAACATGATGGCTTTATGCTACACAACATCCTTAAAAAGATAATCCAAAACCAAGTTAAGTCTGTAGCTCCACTCACAAGTTGTGTAGAAACCCACGAAGAATTATCTCTTGGAGAAATTTCATCAAAAAGGAACATTTTTAGGATATTTTCTTACAGGTAAATATACCACTGGCATGTATAGTCCCATGTATGTGCTTAATTGTATGTGTATGTCATCGAGAAGGATGGAATGGAAATATGTAACACAAAGCAGACAATATTAACACTTAACCTTTTGTTACATTTACTTTTTCATTTTTTCTCTTTTGCCCTAAATATTTAGTAATTTGAATGCCAGTGCAGTCTCTTATGCCCGTGACTGATGTTGGTTTCTTCACTGTATTAGACTATCATGATTAGATTATTTGCATAAGAATTCCTCTTGGAGCATCATGGTAATTCTACCAAAATAGAAAATTTACCTTTGGTTAAGTGTAGGAGTAATGTGTTCCCTGCTAGAAAATGGGTAGATGAAAAAAATGACTATTTGTTGCATAACAGTAGTGTGTGTGTGTGTGTGTGTGTGTGTGTATGTAAGTGTGTAACAAATGGATAATACTTCTGCTGATCTCTATGTAGTTTTTATTTCTGTTGTTAGGACAAGATTTCTGCAGTTCCTCAAATTGAGCATATCTATTGAGCATATCATCCTTTCCTCTCTCCATGTGGTCCATCTAATTTCTCATTGCTATTAACAATGTTGTTTTATGGGAAACAAACTTTTAATGTTCAAGAGCTTCATTTTTTTTTTAATCTAACCACCTGCCAGTATAATACATCTTTGCAGTTTTTTTTTAACATTTATTTAATTGTAGATGGATATAATACCTTTCTTTCTTTATTTATTTAATGT